TTAACATTTCCTGATGGCTTATGGTATCGAATGCTTTCCCGTAGTCGATAAATATCAGTGCCAATGGTTTGTTGTATTCTGCAGACTTCTCCATCAGGTTCTTTATTACTATGGTCTGTTTTTTAACCACGAGGAGTAATTCAAATTTTCCGCACCGTAATGCTTGTTTGTAATTGGTCCAACCGCAGGCAAGTTTACTCCACTAAATTATGGCATACTGACACTAATGACATTTGTGAAAGTATAAAATTCAAAATTTATATCGACGATTTTTTGTATTTTCTGCGTTATTCGTTACATTTTTAGATTTTTCGTTTGCATTTATATAAAAAACAGATCTTTTCAGAAGTATTTAGCGACATATTAGTGTTATTAAGATAACAATATGGATTAAATGCCAAGTACTAGTGGTAATTATTCTTCTCCACCTTAAAAACGCCAAGTAGATTTGGGTCATTTATCATCAAATGAGAAACAATGTATTATAAACATGCACAAACAAATAATGAAAATTGATAATTCTGGAATGAAAATAACAACCACGGTAACAAAATAAAACAGGCAGCAGGATAGTTTTGCAGAATAGTTATTGTTAAAATCAAGACTTACTAAAGTAATGTGCTAATTTTAGGTGTTGCGAATTCAACTATTCACCGAACAATTAAAGAATATAAGCAGACTGGAACAGTAAGATGTCCTAAAAATATTGGCAGTCGATTGCAACATACGATGAAAGAGTTAAAATATCTATGCGACAGATAGTACACAGCTTCTTTTTCAAGAATGAAATGCCCACTTTAAGTGAAATTAACAACCGCTCAGATCTTCCAAAATGTGTGTCGTTCATTATTATATACATTCTTTAAACAAATCAATTTGAAGTAAGTAAATATGGGTTAGCCACAATTATATAGTAAAATTATCTAAAACATTTTATATGATTCATTTTTATAATCGGGAATATTATTGTTACTACTAAATAGATTTTGTAATTAAAATTTATGAGCTACATGAGAAATGATTGTAATAGTACCCTTCTTGTTTGATCAAAATATTAAAATATTTTCCCTATTTATAGACATAAGTACAACAGCCTTTGTGTTACATGTTTTTGGAAACATACCAGTGTACAAATATTTTTATTTTAAGTATCATGTACTTACATTTCACTGTTCTCATTTAAAGATATTATATTTGGTAGGGTTGATGATGAGTACACTAAGTAATGATCTCATAAAGTAGGCTATTAAAAAAATAAATTTTAAGTTTTTAATTGTATGGAACTGTATGTACTGTAATATTGTCAAATATTTTGGTTCAACAGATATAAGAACAAGGAAAGGGAAGAAAAGGAAAAAAAATATTTTTACTTTACATATAAGCAGATTCATTCCGGCAAATATTGCATAGCATAACTATATATTGTGTATCTTACTGTTTATAGGATGATTGATTTATTGTCTATATTATGAATGTCTTACCATAGTTAGGTGAAATTATTCAAAGAATGGTTTATACATTGGGCTGCTGAATAAAAACAAAGTTTCTTGCTCAAATATCTGAAATAGATTTAGTTTTTGCTAAAAAACTCAATGAAGAAATTCAAAATGGTGTAGTTGTTCATGAACCTCACCAAGACATAAATGGAGAGGATATTTTGGAATACTAATAAATTTTTACATACATCCCAAATATATATTTCTGACGAAATCGATGAATCGATTTCTGACTCTTTAAGTTGTTTGTAATAACTTGGACTTGGTGATTATGCGAATGGTTGTAAATCATCACAAGAAAAATGCAAAATTATTCTAGAATGTAACATAAAAGTTTGAATTTGTTGATTATCTCACAGAAATCCAGTATTTTTTAGTAAATTTTATTTATTGATAACAAATTGGACAAACTCACTGTCAAAATTAAACAAGAATCCAGCATTAAAGAAATTGTAAGTACACATTTATTTATACAAAGTATCTTTTTGCATTTTAGTGCTTCAAATAGAACCTAAAGATATTGATACATAAGTTAAACAAATCTATCTAATGAGGTAACTGATTACTATGCATGAAAAGTTGGACCACACCTATATTTGAACCATAATTTATTCTGTGGCGAGAAACATGAAAAAGTCAATTCTAAAGCAGTGAACGGGAACGAATATGTAAAACAAATTGGCTGAAGCAATTCAGGAGATTGGATTATTAAGCTTAAAAATAATGATCAAAGTCAAAGTTAACTCTTCTGGCAAGAAAAAAAAACTAGATTCAAGAAATTAATAACACCAGAATAAGAATATGGTCTACGCAGTTTAAAAGAACAGTATTTCAGAAATCTTTGAACTCTCTCTAACTTTTTGATACATGCACTTGCATTGCTTTGTTGCATCTAAGATCTATTTGCAAATTAAAAGACAAACTTTTGTGAAAAGCCATACTTAGATCTGTAATATTGACTCTCCTGATCAAAATATTCTCTAAATTATAATTAAATACCATAGACTCAAGAGATATATAAAACTGAATCATCCGATATTTAAATATATATACATAGGACCAAACGTGAAAAACGTCCTTTTTTTATTGTAATAATTGTAATATACACTGTGTCCGTAAAGTATGGAACAAATTCTTTTTTAGCAAAACAGAGCATTTTAAGAAATAATCCTGAAACACGTCGATTTTTAATTTTAATTTACCGTATTTTAAAATAATATGCTAATATACAGGGTGAATTACTTTCGAGTAAGTTTTTAATGGAACACCCCCATTTTGTCTCAATTTTCGGATTACTCTAGCTGAGCTGATTCCAAAAATGTATCACATGTTTATTCAAATTGGTACAGGGTGGACAAAAATACAATAGTTTTGTGTGTGTTCAAAAAGTAACGCGTTAGTTAAATTAACAATATTATTAAAAATACTTATTGTCTAGTGGACAGAATATGAAAGAAATTATTTCTTATCAATTTAAAAGAAACATAGTAGGCTATGTTTTTGTTAAATGTCATTATTCGTTTAGTAATTTATTGATGTTCAGTGACAGTTTAGTACTACAATATTTTTGGTATTTGTGAATGTTTTAACTATTGCTTAGATTTAATTTGAAATAGAAATGGAGTTAAGTGTAAAGCAAAGAATTGAAATACTTATGATGATTGGGTATGGAGACAGATCGCGAACTCAGATGGAAGTGTGCAATTTGTTTAATAAGTATCCAGAAAGACCTATAACGCGTTCAACAGTCAGTAAGATTGAAAAGAAATTTCTGGAAACTGATACGGTTGAAAATGCACGGAAATCAGGTCGTCCCTCTGCAAATGCTGATACAGCATTAGATGTTTTGAAGAAGATGCGCACACTTCTGTGCGTAAAGTTAGTCGCGATATCGGTGTTAGCAAAACAACGGTACACAAACTATTAAAGCTTAAAAAATGGCATCCTTATAAAATCAAACTTGTGCAGGAATTAAACGAAGATGATCCCGATAGAAGAATGCAATTTTGCGAAGCAATGATGGATAACTGCCACCTAGACCCTCTCTTGGTACAAAACATTTTTTTTTCTGATGAGGCCACTTTTACGTTAAATGGCGAGGTTAACCGTCAGAATTGTAGATACTGGGCAAAAGAAAACCCCACTGGATGCGTGAGCATCATACACAATACTCGCAAAAGGTAAATGTATGGGCTGCAATTGTAAGAAATCGAATCATCGGACCCTACTTTATCGAAGGTAATTTAAACGGGCAACGTACCTTGAGTTTTTAAGGGGGTATCTCGTACCTACATTACGTAATTTGTTTCCCAGCAGACGTAATCCTGGAGGTTTTGATGAAAGTTTATGGTTGCAACAGGATGGTGCACCTCCACATTATGCTGTAGATGTTAGAAGGTACCTAGATGAAATTTTTCCGAACAAGTGGATTGGTAGACGTGGGCCTATTGAATGGCCAGCGAGGTCACCAGATTTCAATCTTTTGGATTATTTTATTTGGGGCTATCTGAAGAATGTTGTGTATCAAACGAAACCAGCAAATATTCAAGAATTACAACAGAGAAATCGGACAGCAATAAACAATATTTCTTAAGACACAATAAACAAGGTTCAACAAGAATTTGTTGAACGTTGTTTATGTTGAACAACGTTTGGGATACTGTCAAATACAGCAAGGGCTGCAGTTCGAACATTTATAAAGTCATGTATTTCATTATATTCTGTCCGCTAGACAATAAGTATTTTTGATAATATTGTTAATTTAACTAACGCGTTACTTTATGAACATACACAAAACTATTGTATTTTTGTCCACCCTGTACCAATTTGAATCAACATGTGATACATTTTTGAAATCAGCTCAGCTAGAGTAATCTGAAAATTGAGACAAAATGGGGGTGTTCCATTTAAAAAAAAATGACGGTGACGTCATTACTCGAAAGTAATTCACCCTGTATATTAAAATATTATGTTAAAATAAAGTAAATTAAAATCAAAAATCGACGTGTTTCAGGATTATTTCTTAAAATGCTCTGTTTAGCTAAAAAAGAATTTGTTCCATACTTTACGGACACAGTGTATATTGGAGGTGAATTGAAAAAAATTATTATTCAAACATAAATAAACAAAGTTGGGTTAAAATTGACGTGTAAGATTGTCTAATATTGATTACTCGATTACCGCAAGGCCGAGATAATCAACAAAAAAAGAAGATGTATTTGGTGACTTTTCTAGTAACTTTCTTGGGTGTGAATCTGTCTTTTTGGTTTACTCCTCCTGGTTAACAGAGTATAGTAAGTGGTCGTTAGTGCTGTATCCCGATCTAAATTCAGCTTGTTCTCTAGGCTGATAGAAGTCTAACACGTGGACGAATCATGTACCAGCTCTATTTACATTTAATACCATTTTCAGTAAAGAAGTAAGACATATTCTTGTTTAATTCCACGTGTTAGTTTTATATAGCTTAATATCTATGTTAATTATATTTATATTAAGAAATATCGCTTAAACAGTTAACTAATAAAAATCTTTATTTTTCTTTAAACGTAACACTTTAACCTAACTATTCAAGCTTGGTAGCCCAAATTGTTCTAAGGGGGCCCTGTCTAATCTATCAATAACAACATGTGCATTTTTTCTAAGTTCTGGAGGTACATTTTCATCTGGTATCATAACAGCTTGCATTCCTGCACCAATAGCGGCTAATATACCGTTGGGGGCATCTTCAAACACCAAACATTTTTCTGGACTGGGTTTATCAGTAAATCTAGAAAATTAATAAATATTAATTTATCCACGTTATTTATATGTTGTTTATTAATATTTTGTGAAAGAAGCACTTTTCGAAATGAGCGAGATTTATGAAATACGATAATAATAAGTTAAACACAAGTATGCTTTGTAGGCTCGTAACACTAGATTTTTATTAGTAATTTTTTTTTACCAAAACAGATAATTTTTGAAGCTCCACAAATAAGTAAAAATCTAATATTTATAGTAATAAAGATCTAGCTTAATATCGTTTCTCTTTTTAAATATTTAAAACCGAATGGTTTATATTTATAAACAAATATTCACCACTTTTGGTTACGTTATTTATTATATAATATACGCTAGATACTTAAGTTATTAACAAATATTTTTTTTAACTTATGAAACTATCATTAAAATAGACTTATTTCTTGGTGTTAATGACTATCACAACGGTCCCAACGATAAAGGAGAAAAATTGATAGGTGAGAATAGTAACCTATCCGCCAAAAGAATCTGTATAACCAATCGTTTTATTGGTAAAACGCTTCAGTGGTGTTACGATGCGAGGTAATTTATTTGTTTAAAACTAAATTCGGCAGAGATTTTTGAAAAAAAAAAAAATTCGTAGGGAACATCCGCGTAGTTCGGTAGTGATATTTGTAAGAAAGAACATTTAAAAACTACGTGTGTGCCTGACCAAAGATGCGGCTTGCAGAACTATCAGTAAAACAGTTACGTGAATAACTAGAAGAACGGGATGAAGACTGCAGCGAGTCCAATAAGATCCTTCAACTGAACGACTGACGGATGTTCTCAACAAGAATAGAGATGACCCAGACACATTCCATTTTCAATCAGCAGAAGTAACAATTTTAACGAAAATAAATGAGAAATTTAAAAATGTTTCTCTAAGAATTGATGATAAATTCGAAAATGTTTCTAGAAGAATCGACGAAAAATTTGAAAATGTTTCTCAAATGATGGAAGAAACTTCTAGAAAGAACAATGACGAATTCGAAGTAGTTTCAAGACCATTCGATAAGCAGAAGAGAAGATCAAGCAGTTAAAGAGCATGATCAAGAATACAACAGTGCTACCACCAGTTAATACAGTAGTTTTAGATCCTGTAGTGAAAGAGGAATCAGCTAGAGACGAATCCACACATTATATAATATTCAAACTGCCACCATTTGATGGGAAGTCTTCTTGGTCCATATACCTTAGACAATTTGAAGTTACTGCGCCAGCCATAGGACAGAACAAGAAAAGGCTATTTCCTTGACTGCTGCTATACAAGGTGATGTGCGGATATCCTAAGATCGATTCCTAAGGATCAAGAAAAATGTTATCGAGCTATCGAGTACGAACCTCTGAACAGAGCGACGAACAAAACGATAAACGTCTTGAGGAAGTCGTACGGAAAGTAGTTCGTAACGCGATGCCGAAGAGACCCGAACCTAGATGTTGGAATGGTGGCGACGTAGATCACATTCAGCGTAAATTGCAAGAAAATAATAAAACAGTCAGAAAGCTAGAACAGATCAAACACTGGGCTGGAAAAAGTCATTCAAATGCAGATGCTCAGTCAAGACAGCAATGCAGTGCAAATTTTAATCACTGCCTTAAATTAGAGGAACGACTTTATCCCGTGAAACGAACCATCTTCATTATTGATCAATCTCAGCCCTCAACAGCTATAAGACGCACAAGCAGATGATCATCTATAAAAACAATATTGGATTGGATGCATCGAACCTGCTTGGCAAGACATTAGTGCATGTAGTCCAGAAGTCAAGTCTTGCCGGAGCAAATGGAATTGCCTAGTACTAAAAGGTGATCTTCTGTATAGAGCCTTTGAGAACGATAATGGTACAGAATCTAAGCTTCAGCTGATTATACCTAAAAGTAAATAGTTAGAAGTATTGCGTCAATTGCATGACGGTGCATAGTATTTTTTGGCATTACGAACATTCTGCAAAAGGTTCGAGAACGGTTCTTTTGGGTGAACTGTAAAAATGATTTAAGAAGATGGTGCCGGAAATGTGAACTGTGTTCAACCAGTAATGGTCCATAAATATATCTCGGTGGCCATCGATTACTTTATAAAATAGACTGAGGCCTATGCGATCCCAAATCAAGAAGCTGCTACCGTTGCAGAGGTACTTGTTAAAGAATTCTTTAGCTGATTTGATGTTCCTGCCCTGCATCCTCAATCAGATGGAATGGTCGAGAGGATGGATCGAACGATAGGTAAACACCTATCCAAAGTTGTATCCGAACATCAAACAGATTCATTTATTCCTAATGGCCTACCATTGCCGAAGAAGATGTAAGCTAAAAATATGCCCACCGCCTTAAGTTAAGAATGAACAACATTCATGAACTTGCCCCACAACACATCAAGTTAGCCAGTGACAGAATGAAAGATCAATATGATTCTATGCAAAAATCAAAGTTTTGAAATAGGTGATCTTGTTTGGCTTTATAATCAGTCACCTCAAACACCTTGCTCAGACTGTGATAAGGTTTATATAGGAGAAACTTCTAGTACACTACACAGCAAAATCATTTCTCACAAAAGTAATATAAAAACAAACAAATCACAAGCTTGTGCATTAGCCGACCATTCCATCAATCTAAATCACACATTTAATTTTTCACAAGCTTCAATTCTAGAGAGGAAGAAAAATTAATAGAAGCGGATATTTTTAGAAATGACACATATACAGAAAAATATAAAAAATGTATAAATAGAAAATCGGATACCATGTCAACAAACAATTGGTATAACACCATAATCTCATTTTCTCTCGCATTCTATCTCATAAAAAATTCATATATGCTTGAGATAAATTGACTGGACTAATTTATTTTTCATCCACAATCAAATTAAAATAATAAAAGCTATTATTACTGGTTTTTGACATTAAGTTTTTGTCTTTTGGGCCAAACAGACGGCATTATCAAGAATCACTACCTACTTGATATTCTAATTAACAGTCAACAATACCACCATATCTTCTTCTTTTTTATGTAGACATGACTCTGTCTGTTTTTCAACCTCTAGTAAGTTGCCGTTCCACCGTTTTCGTGGTCTTCCTACTGATCGTCTTCCTATTGGGGTACCGTCTCTTGCCGTCTTTACTACTCTATTTGTTGTCATTCGGCTTATATGATCATTTCATTCTACTCTTCTATTTCTTACCCAGTTCTTGATATTCTCCACCTTGCATCTACGTCGTATATCTGTACTTCTAGCTCTGTCCCATAGTGTAATGCCATCAAGTTTTCAAGTGTTTTCATCTCTGCTGTTTCTAACATCCTTTCTGTCCTCTCTGTGTCAGGTCGTGTTTCTGCCGTGTATGTCATTATTTACTTATATTACCTATATTGTTTCATTCAGGTAGCCTGCGGCTCTGTTTGCTGTATTCACTTGATCTTCCACTTCAGTTCCGAGCATTCCGTAGCTAGATAATGTGATGCCTAGGTATTGGGTCATGTGTTGAGAGGCGAAAGTTATTAATTACTTCAAGTTATACTGGAAGGAAAAGTACAGGGCAAAAGATCAGTAGGAAGACGCCAGAACTTATGGCTGAAAGACCTGAGGAGATGGTTCGACCGTTCATCCGCAGAAATCTTTCGCGCAGCAGTTTCCAAAACTACAATTGCCATTTGGATCGCCAACCTTCGAAAGGAGGCGGAGGCCATGAGAAGAAGATGTTAAAATCAATCATTTGTTCTATTCACTGACCTTCCAGCTCCAATTTACACCTTAGTAAATTTGCTGTAGTAACCATGCATTTTGTCTTTTTTGGGAAAATTAACATGTTACTGCAGCACACGTTGTAAATCGTCTTCATTTTGAGAGAGTAGTATTGCGTCGTCTGCATAGCATATTATTTTAAGTTGTTTTTCTCCCATTTGGTATCCTTTTTTAGTTCTTACTTATTTTATTATTTCATCCATAATCAGGTTGAACAATAGAGGACTCAGGTAATCTTCCTGCCTTATCCCATTGCCAGCTTCAATAGGGTCGGTTTGTTCTTCTTCCACTTTTACTTTTATTGTGCTGTTTTGGTAACTATTTTCGATCGTTTTGATTATTTCTAGAGGTATCTCTCTTGTGTACAATAAGTGGATAACGTCCTTTAATTTGACCCGTTCAAATGCCTTAGACAAAGATAGGCAATGTATTTCTTACGGCAGAACGACCGACCACGTTACCGGTTTTCCCCAAGCGGCGCATGAGGACCGGATTAAAGGATCATGTCACTAGAATATACGCGCACACAACGAATGTACTTCGGTGCATATAGTTGTAAATTTTGATGTTAGTATTCAAATTTCGATTCTTGGAAATAACCATCATTATTTCTGTATTCAACCAAAAAAAAATTACCCTCCCTTGTTACTGTATTAATGAGATTTTAGAGTCCATCTTGAGTGCATGCACTGGTTCACCTTTTTGCTATCTTAAATGTTCTCGAGGGAATTTTTAAATGTTTTTTCTGAATACATGTTAAAGACAGTTGGAGAAATATGCAACCTTGCCTCACATCTTTTGTGATAGGAATACTGTTGTTTAGCTTATTATCAATTCTTACTGTTTGTTTAAAGTATAGTATAAGTAGATAAATTTTTTATCATGATGCATAATCATCATAATGCACTGATAACAAGTTATCACTACAATATGACTCCACCAAAGAAATGTTTTCTCATAGTCAATGAAATATAAGCATACATCCTCAGATTAATTCCTACATTTTTGATGCAGTGCAGTGAACCCAAACAGTGCTTCACGGGTACCAAAACCCAAACTGAAACCAAACTATTTCTCTCCTACAAAGTGATTGCACATTGTGTATAAGGAAAATATTAGGGTAACCTATTCTAATAATAAATCACCTTAAAAAAGATACACAGTGAATAAATTTATGTAAAATGAGTATATCTCATGTTTAACCCAAAACAGAGTTGACAGATCATTTTTATAGATATACCGTTCATAATAGAATTGTAATATATTGACAAAAGCGTTTTTAAAATACATCTAGGTACAATTTTTAAAAATAGCTTGACGCTATAATTGGTCACTACACTATATTGTGACAATCTCGAGTATTATAAATGATGCAATTCAGTCAATAAAATGATCAATTTTGCATTTTTCCATTAAGAGCCAGAGCGTTCACCAAAATTAGGATTTTAACAAAATGGTGATTAACCGTTACATTTGAATTTAATATATATTACTGAAATTATTTTTTATTTCTCATCAGGTATAATAAACATAATACTTACCTAGAAGCACAAACTAAAAATATGTCAGGTGCTGGCTTCCCTGATTTCACTTCAGGATCACTACCTCCACAAACGATATGATTAAATAATGAGAAAAAGTCTTTGTGCTTTCCCGTTTTAAGATTAAAACTTTCTTGTGAGGATGATGTTGCTACTGCAATTGGAATATTTTTTGAATGAAGATGTTTCACTAATGTGACCGCACCTAAAACAACGATACATTAGGAAGTGCTGAAAAATATTAAAATCAAGCAATTAGCTAAGTTCCTACAACGAAATCAGTCTGATAATATATTTGTATACTATTGGTTTAAATTAACATATATATTAAGAAAATTTCGTTATTTTTTTATTTTTAAGTTAAACTGATACATTTTCTTATCGATTTCGATTCTAATACCTCATGAAAGTTTAATCAACAAAATAGTATAAAAAATAAAGCAATAATTTGCAAAATAATAATTGTTAAAAGCAATTTCTTTGCATTATCTCTTACGATATAATGATTGTTTAAATACATATTGGAATTTAAACTTTTAACGTAAGGCAGCTACTCTATTTTTGAAGCGAAGCTTGTATACTGGCGTTGTATTACTTTTTTCTCTACAGTAAAATGCTAAGGCGACCGTCACGGAACAAGCGCCACGCCAATTCACTGCTCTCGATAACTTCATTTTCTAGTAATCACATGTATGTATTCTAAGCAGGTTTAAATTATAAACTGCATGAAAAATAATTATCAAAATACATACATTAAATGAGAATTAAATAATTTAAAAAATATCTGTCAAAAAAGATTCCATCTGTCAAGATTGTTGAAATTTAAGAATCATAAATGCCATCTGATTAATAACAATATTGGATCATCTGTTTAAATTTTTTTGACATTTCTCGTTTTAAAATAATTTCATATAAATACAATCATTATTTTTAAACATCTTATTTAGTTTATATAATGATTAAATTTACTATCAAATAATATTTATTTATATATTATTATTAATTTAATAATTCGTCTGAATTTGACAGGTCTGGCAGAAGTAAACCATGTATGCTTTGTTAATACGATAGCAGGTGACATTATCAGCAAACATAGTAATTTATTGAATTTTTTAAAATATAATTATTTTAAAATACATACATAAAATAATAAATAAATAATAAAATTACTTTATTCTCGCAAATTTACTGTACCGCCTAGTGTATCATATTTTTCCTTTTTTCTAGTAGGTATACGTTTTAAACCGTCCTCAGACAAGATCTTGGAGGAAGGTGTCGAGAAGTAGCTTTTGAGGTATCCCCAATAAAACCGAAGATAATTTGTTCGGTAGAAGCTGATAGGCCTGATCTCTCGAAGTTGTTTAACAGTTCTCTAGCTTTTTAGAGTAATGTTATACTCTAAGTTCACTTGGGATCCATATTCAAAGAGGATAGTGAAAAAAAGTATAGCACCTTTACGGTACCTATGCTGTACAGTGTGAAAGCTATGATGCTAAGCCGAGAATACGCTATAGGTCCTGGTGGCTAGACAGTCCTTGAGATTCGTTTTGAGTTCCGTTAATTTAAGACAAATCAAATCTGAGTCGACAGGCACACATAAGGATACCATCTTAGCTGCACATAAAGTACCAATTGCGAGGAAAGGTAAGTAATGTGTAAAGAGCTCTGGGTAGGAGTGACTCTATCTCCCCCATTTGGAAGAAAAAAGTGGAGTGGTTAATTTCTTGACCAATTTGTAGTTTTGATGAATGCGTATTCTAGGGCTAGATTAAAAAGCTTTGGAGATATTACGTCGCCTTGTCTAACTCCTTTCTTAATGGGATGGGATTTGTATTTTCGTCTAGTTGTACTATCATAGTTGCGTTTTCATATATATTATGTATTAGTTGCTTATATCTCGAATCTATTCTACAATTATTAATATGCCTTTTCATAATCTATGAAAGCAAGAAATACGGGTAGTTGGATGTCATTTGCTTTCTCTATCAGTGTTATCATTGTCAGCAGATGGTCTGAAAATGATATCCTTTGAAAAAGCCAGCCTATTCAACCAGTTGGTAATTATCCATTTTGTAAGTCAATCTATTGTTAATAATTCTGATAAACACTTTATATAATTGACTGAGTGATATAGGTCCATAATTCTTTAGGTCACATTTGTCCCCTTTTTTGTGTAAGAGTATTACTAGACTCTCGTTCCAGTCTTTAGGGATTTTGCTATTATGGAGACATCTATTAAATAGCTCTATTAGTATGGGGATTGTTACTGTCTTGCTTGTTTTCAAGAGCTTGGAAATTATACCGTCGTGCCCTGGAGCTTTATTATGTTTTATTTCTTTTAAAGCTCTTTCTATTTCGAATCCCTGCATATTTGGTAGTACCTTTGATCACACGTTTTTTTTTACGTTTTCTTTTGATGATTCGCTAAGCTGGCTTCCGAGCTGTACAAGGTTTTGTAGAAGAAAATAAGTACAGTTGGCAGAATATATGAGGTCAACAATAAACAGTAGACTATATAATAACAAATAGAGAAATAATATCTAAACAAATTCTCGACATGAGTCCTCACGTCGCCAATATAGAGTGAGATCAGAATTAGTGCTGGGCAAATTTCTAATCAAAATACCATCAAGAAAAAACCAACCGAATACTCGAAAAATTAAACATACGAATGTATGTAGAGTCTCGTAAAGGATAAAATTACGAAATAATTGTATAAACAAGCGTTTAGAAGAAAGGTATTGACATAAATCCTGTAAAAAAAGGAGAAAATTTCAACGAAATTTGGGCAAAACTAGTTATAAAATACATGCCGCAAAAGAAACTTAGCTTGAACACAACAAAAATATCAAAGCCATGCTTTAACACCGAAATCGAGGATTTAGCATACGAGAAGGAATTAAATATACCTACAACACGGCACCATAAAATAATATCACCTAACTATTATAACATTACGAAGATATACGAAACTGCATCAATTCTGAGATAAGAAGTTTGAAAATGAGAATATTGGACTCGATTTGCCCGTGAAAAAACAATTCCATTAATATAAAAATTTAAACAAAATAGAAACAGAGCAATCGATACCTTATATAAAATAACTTTACAATGGAGGCAGTATAATGCCTAAAGAAGAAGGAAAAAGTTATGGAGAAGTCGGCATAGAAGATTTAAGAGTCAGCATAGAAGTCGTAAAAGAAGAAATCAAGGATAGCACATATTTATTTAAAAAAACCAGGACCGGATGGAATACCAAATGATCTCAGAAAACAATAATTGAAAACATATTGGTACTTTTTAAGTAAATTTTAAACAGCAAGTGACCGAACATTATAATACTAATACAAATAAAAGGAAATAGTAGAAATCCTACCACCTACCGTATAATGACGTTGCTCAACAAAACTTTTAAACTAACCGGGATAGTCGCCAATGAGATAAATAAAAAATACATCATTCGTGCAATAAGATAAATAAAAAATACATTATAAGAGCAACAAGGCTTTCGACAAAACAAATCAACAACAAACCTATATTCATAGCCAGACAAAATGCTGAGAAATGCAGATATTGCTAATTAAATACTTGGAAACCCCAGGACACAGGTTTGATAAGAGACCTGATGATGGCCAAACAAAGTTAAAAAAATAATAATAGGCGTGACTTTATCTTGATTGCTATTAGACTCATGATTCTAGCGCACTGCTATACATTTTGTCTTTTTAACATTTAGTTTTCGGCCAAAAAAGACACCTGTTGGTGATCGAGTTTAAAAAAAATAAAGGAGAAGAGAAGACTACACAATAGTGGCAAGAAAATATACGTCGAATACACATCTTTAAAATTATAAAGTCTGTAAAGTACCTCGAGAAGTTCTGTGGTGGGGGCTCAGTAAGAAAGAAGTTCCCGTTGAATATGTGAAGATTGTGAGAGACATATCTGAGAGACGTACTGAGAAATATCTGAGAGAAGTACCCCGAGAAGTTTTGTGGTGGGGGCCCAATAAGAAAGAAGCTCAATAAGAAGAAGGTGAATATGTGAAGATTGTGAGAGACAAATCTGAGAGAATAACAATATGTTAGGACAGGTGTAACTGAAACTAATAAATTTCCAATGCCCGAAATCCCGAAGATACAGAAGAAACAAAAAGAATACTTATAACGTCAGGAATGAGAACCTTAAAATCAATTAATGAACCTAAAGAAAATGCAAAGTAGCAGATTACCAAATAACGAAACAAATATAACATTAGGACATTGTACAATGAGAAAGTGATTTAAATCCAACAAACACCAGACTGCTAGAAAGAACCAAGATACCTGGAAGTCAACGTCACAAATACGACTGCAGTATTAAGACCGGATAAAAACAGGTCAAAGGCCAAGAAGCAGGAGAGCCACTACTATACATATAATTAAAATCAAAGAACCATAATATAATTTGGCTTCTATAAGCAAAAGCACTAATCTTTATATGCCGCTGCGTTGCTTCAGCTTAAAATCAAAAATATAATCTACCTTTTATAATATTAATTTAAAAATACAACATTGGTAGTTAAACATTACATTATTCATTTAATTTTATTTATATGTGCTTAATCAGCTAGTTGTATAGCGAAGTTAGTCTATGTAGACTATTAAAATTAGGAGTAGAATAAAAAACGTGCAAACTGGCCTACCAAAGTAATTACCTGGTATAAATTTTACATCAGTCATGTATTGATGTGCCTTTGTCCTAAATTCAACCTGAAATTTATCCACTGACATAGGTAGTTTCATTTCTTGTACAGCAATTCTACTAGAATCCCTTTCAGGAGTTCCTATAATTTTACTTTGAATATGTGGTGTATATACTTTCCCAAACCTACTGGCTATGCTTTGTATGGCTCTTTTGTAAAAAATTTCGGTATCTGGAAATGTAAAATGAAAATATAGTTACCTGGCATTAATTGACATTCAGGCATGATGATATAATATTGTTCCAATGCTTGTTTGTAATATTCCTGAGCTGAGATGGGCAAATCATAAATTTTTACTATTCTTTCTGCCATTTCTTGACCGTGTAGGCCCATCATTTGGGTTTTTACTTCCCATGTAAAAGTTTTTCCATATTGATCTAAAATGTTTTGTGTGGCTTTCGTGTATAAAATTTCAGTATCTGAAAATTTAAATTCCGTAAATAGTTGAATTTTTTATTAGTATTCAATTGTTTCCTTTCTCAATTAAATAATAGACAGGTTAATATAGCTATTGCTTAAATATAGTTCAAGCACTGGGGCTTAAAATACATATAAAAAAATAAGTCATACGACTGGAAATGGTGTTATTGCTGGATATCATATACCAGGGGTGGTCAAACTATCGCGAGCCACGAATTAATTATTTTAATTATACGGATATACTATTTGTAATCTGATTTGTTTAATAGTATGTAAACACGTGTTGTTATTGTTTTAATATCACAAAACAAAGTTTTAGGTTAAAAACAACCAAAGAAATGGACAAAACCAACTAATTTTAAGGAGTTCGAAAAATATATTGATAATTCATTGAAAGACACAACAACAGACATCAATATATTGAATGGACAAATAGTCAACACAACGCAACAGACTCAAACGAAATATTGTCCAACAAAAAGGATGAAAAACTAAGTTAACTTACGAGAACCCTTACAGACCAAAGGCGACAGATGAAACAGTATAAACAAAGAAGCGCTAAATAAAATAAATAAGACGATCACAAAGGCAATAAGAAGACATAGTAAACTACAAAGTAGAAAAAAACTAAACAAGCCATAAATCAAAATAAGAACATGATAGTTTTGAGAAGGTGCCCGCAAAAGAGAAAAATAAAAATTAACAAACTCAGAAACAGAGCTGGAGAAGAAACTACGAACTGAGATGAAATATTAACAATAGTCGAAGAGTTCTACACAGAGCCATAGATATCAAGAGAAAATTTACAGTAAAAATTTGGGTACTAAACCAAGGATCAGATTTAATGCCTGATATAACAAAATCTGAAATCAAAGGGGCCCTGAAGAAAATGAAAAATAATCGCCCATAATAAAAGCCCAGGAGAAACTTAAAAGCAAATTTAGAGAACTACAGACCTCCTCAGCCATATAGATAAGTTATTTACGTGAATAACAGTTAAAAGAATAAAAAGAAAATTAGAGACTTATCAACCAAGGGAACAAGAAGGATTACGAAAAAATTACGGAACTAATGATCATCTACAAACCATAAAAACCCTAATAGAGAAAGTAGTGGAATACAATAAACCTCTAGTGCTAATATTTGTCGATTTTCACACTAGTCTTTGACACAGATGAGCTCAGTAAAATACTTCTTCTTCTTCTTCTTATTTTGGCATCATAACCCTGGATGGCCTTTGCCTGCCTGACTATGTCCTTCCTTTCAGATCTCTCTTGGGTCCTTCCCCTTCATTATCTTATATTCATGGTTTTCAGATCGTCTTCCACGTCATCCAACCATCTCGTCCTGGGCCTTCCTTTTTTGCGCATTCCTACCGGCTTCCACTGTGTTCCAACATCTTCTTTGTCTTTTTCGTGTGTTCTTGTCGCTGGACATGTCCCAGCCATGACAGTCTTTGACTTTTCAAAATCTTACAATGTCATACCCTTCATTCAGTTCATTAACCTCGTCGTTTCTCCTGATTCTCCATGTGCCGTCTTCCTCCTACACCGGGCCATATACTTTTCTCAATATCTTTCTCTCGAATGTTCTGAGTTGGGCTTCCTCTTTTTTCGCCATTACCCAGGTTTCACAACCATAGGTTACTTCGGATCTAATCAAAGTTCTGTAGATAATAATTTTGGTTCTTTTGTCTAATAATTTCGATGTCATCAATATTTTATTATTATTAATGGAACAAAGAAATCGGGAATTGGCGGCTATATAGAGCCAAAAGACCACGAGGAAGACCGCAAATGCGATGGAGCGACGATATTAAAAGAACTGCAGGGCCAATGTGGAAACGTCTTACAAACAACAGAGATGAATGGCGAGAATTAGAAGAGGCCTATATTCGGCGATTCGAATAGAAAAAAGGTCTTAAAAAAATCTTTTATTAGCATATATTTCCACTGGAAATACGTGCATTAATTTTGCGACTTACGGAATTTTTCTGATTGATTTCTGTGCCCATCCACACGTTCAATAGTATAGTTGTCTATTGCTATATTATTTTCATTTTCAAGTATTCTGTTGATGGTCATGTACTGAGTTTTTGTTTCGTGTATTCTAAGCCCTCTTTTTGTGAGGTCTGATATATTTTTCATCTGATAGCTGTCATCTGATATATTTTTTTGTATACCTAAATTTCCGAGGTTTTTCAGCATTTTGTCTCTTTTCACACTATCAGAAGCTTGTTTAAAGTCTATATACATAACATTAAATAGTTCTATATCGTATTCATTAGCTTTCTCTTGTATTGCTCCAAGTATGAATATGTTGTCTGTAATGGCTCTATTTGATCTGAATCCATTTTGATAATCACCAATTATATTTTCGGAGTATTCTGACAATCTAGTGTAGATAATACCAGAAAGAATTTTGTATATTATATTTAGCAATGTAATTGGTCTGCAATTCTGGCATTCCCTCTTATCTTCTTTTTTATATATTAGCTATATAAGACCAACTGCCCATTCCTCCGGCATATGCTCCTTGGTCCATACCAACTTTATGAGGTTAAGTAAAATACTACAGGCGCTTAAAGAATGCAGGCTATACTATAGGTATGCAAAATGATCATACAGGATGAACCACTGTCAAATTGCATACTAATAGTAATCGCATAAAAGTAAAGCGGTAGGTTAGACAAGGATACCCAATGTGACCTAAACTTTTGAATACTGTACTGGAACATGCTTGGATTGGCTGACAAATAGAATAAAAATATATGGAGAATACATAAAGAAGTTATGTTTCGCCGATGATATAGTCATAATAGCTGAGGACTTAGGAATGGCAAAAGAGATGGTACAGGAGCTCGTTGTGGCTACAGAAAATATATGTTTAAATATAAACATCTCAAAAACAAAAATAATGACAAATTTGGTACGCAACCAGAACATCAGTATTGAAGTGGGCAAGAAGTAGAACTCGTAAATAAATATAAATACCTAGGACATGAAATTATGATTGACAGGTAGACCCATGAACTGAAGAAAAGAATCGGTCTGGGCAGCATATGGAAAACTGAAAGAATCTTTTAAAAGTGAGCTGCCCACATGGCTGAAGAGAAAATTATTTGATCAATGCGTCCACCCAGTATTGACATACGGAGCAGAAACACTTACTTTGTCAAAAGTCTCGACTACCAAACTGGACTACCACACAGAGAAGAATGGAGCAATTTATGTTAGGAATTACTCTACGAGACAAAATAAAAAACGAAGAGGTCAGAAGAAGAACCAAGGTGAGTGACTTCATCGAAAGGCTAGCCGGACTGAAATGGAGATGGGCAGGACACATATCTAGACTGACGCATGGGCGATGGAGAAACAGGCTATTAAAATGGAGACCAAGGGAAAACAGGTGAAGCGTCGATTGACCACCTCCACAATGGGCTGACGATTTAGGAAGAAAAAATAAAAACTGGATGAGAGTGGCGCAATATAGACGGGTTTAGAAACACGAGGAAGAGGCCTATGTTCACCAGTGGACTTTTGAGGCGGGATTATGATGATATCTAGGGTAAAAAATTATATAGGTACCCAATTTATGTAGACATTATAAAACCAATCACACTCAGTTTTCTAATAAGTATTCAAAAATTTCCAAATGAATATCAGTTAAACTTGCTTTTTTAAAATCAAATTTAAATAAGCTACAGGCAGTTTTGACGATCTTTAGATCAGTCAGTTTTATTATTGCCTGAAATATTGCTCTTGAAACAAGCCCGCATGGAGAGGGAGGGAGAGGTTTACTAGATAAAAGTTAGAAGATGAACTTAAAGTTTTAGATCCAAATAATGCATCATTGCACAAAGTTGAGTGCAATTTGAAGGACTTTATTGTATTCAGTCTAGCCCTTGACGAATCAACTGACACAACAGATCTCCCGCAACTGTAAATTTTTATATGTATTGTTTCACCTGACTTTGTTGTTAAAGAAGAATTAGTAGATTTAGTGACACATCAAGATACTTTGAATAGATGATTCTTAAATTCCACCATTCATACGACTTAATGCATTATTCACCGAGAACTTCTCATTGCAAAATAATTTCAAATATCCTGATGTTATCAAAACAGAATTACACATTGTAAATTACATTCGCACCAATGCAAAAAATCATCGACAATTCAAAAATTTCCTTGTGGAATTTAAAGGACGGAGAACTTCCAAATAACTTTAAATTGTTTGGCATTTTGATATAGATTATTGCAAATTTGTTTGATCCGATAACTGCATTTCTAAAAAAAAGGAAATAACCTATTCAGAATTAAACAATGACGAGTGGTTATAAGTCTTATTTTTGACTGATGTTATGGAACATTTACGAACACTGAATTCACAATTGCAAGGGAAAGACAAAACAATGTCTAACCATTCACAGTGTATATTAGGTTTTCAAACTAAATTACAACTTTTTCAAAAGGACATTAAAAATAAAACATTTTTTCATTTTACTCCAATTTTGAAAAAAAAAATTCCAATACTAAACAAGAAAAACTCAACAAGTACCTAAAAAGCTAATATGAATATTTACGGAATTCCAAAAGCGATTTCAAGATTTGAATTATTTTAAATCGTCTCTTAGTTTTTTTCTGACTCCATATGATATGAACATTATTCAAAGTGAGTTTTTCATTTCCAATCTAATTATTATCCAAAAAACATCTGGAGAATTATAATTAATAGAGATGCTGAACACAGAATTTTAAAAATTTAACAGATCCAAAGTATCCTGAATTAGAAAAAGGCTGCTTGTTGAATTATTTCCATATTCGGAAGAACATAATTATGTAAATCATTTTATTCCACTTAATTCATGAAATCCAAACACTGATCAGTATTAACTAACAAGCGCCTGAAAGAATTGTTGTATAGTCTTTTGGTCAAGGTTTCATTATTGTATATACGCGATCGGTTTGGAGGCTGTTAATTCCTATCGTCTCAAATGCTTTGCGAAAGTCTGTGAAAACCAGGAGCAATGGTCGGCTATATTCGATGGATTTTTCTATAATACCTTTTATGTAGTGGAGCTGGTCGTTAGTGCCAAAGTTTTTCCTAAAACCTGCCTATTTCTTAGGTTGGTAAAAATCTAATTTTGTTTTCAGTCTATTTGTTACTATTCTTGTGAATAACTTGTAGAGGTGGATTAACATATAGGTCGGTAATCCTCAAGGTCTATTGGATCGCTCTTTTTGTGTAATGAAATGGTAAACGCATGGTGCCATCTTGTAGGTGTTTCACTTCGGTGCAGATATAAGTTAAAAAATTTCTTTACATTCTCTAAAAGTCTATCTCCTCCAATCTTTGCGGCTTCTATCTTCTCCCGCAGCTTTATTTCTTTCCCATTTTCTTCAGTGCATTCCTTATTTCATCTGTTGATATCTCAAGCATCAATTCCAATTCGGGCTTGACTAATCTTTTTCCCGAATTTTCTAACTTTCCTGTTAGTTGCTCTTTTATTTTTTTAATAGGTATTTAACTGTGGTTCGCGAAAAATTTCCTATTTTAAAAAATAGCTCACACTAGCAAGAAGCTTGACCACCCAGGTCATATGCAATAAAAAATTTGTATGGTCACAAATTTTTGCAAAAACAGCACTTATTCTAAAATTCTTGATAGTTTCTAATACTAATCTATGTTGTCTAATTTTAGTAACCACTTATGAGTATTTTAGAAACTCTTTGACACAGTAGTTAGAGCTTTGCAAATTCATCTATTTATCTGGTCTATAAATTTCCTTCCTTGCATGGGTCATCTAAAACTATGAGACTCTCTGGCAGATGAAAAATTGGCTCCAAATGGTTCTTAAAACTAGATAACATTACCAACAAAAAAACATTTTAACGTAGAGCCTAACATATTTCTAGTAAAGTTACAAGCAATCAAGTTTTTTTAATTTTTGAAAAAATGTCCAAAATACATATTTTTTCTTGCATATGTTTGATTAGGTCATAAAGAGGAATACTTCTGTATAGTTAGAAATCTTGATATTAATATTTGGAATAGTTGCAAACAATTACTGTTTTTTTTTAACCTTTTTTGCATGATCTTTTAATAACACCAGGGATAAGATTTGTATATTATAAGAATTTTAATTTATCCCATCCCTTTTTATCTATCAAAGGAGGAACACCACTAAAAAATTCTTTAGATGATTACCTCCTCATTATTGTCCTAGTCATCAATGGCATCAGCAATAAAACCAAAGGTATGACTTAGTTTTTTTAGCCTCTGCACTTGAATAAAATTTTTATTTTGAAGCCAGCTATTTGTCACCTTATCTTGTCAATATTATGGTAGCTTTGTCTATGTAGTGAAATATGATTTCATAGTGAAGTAGTTATTTATAGTTATAAAGTAATTTATTACTATAAATTTATTACTATAATTTTATTGCAGTTATAAAATTAAAATTATATTCAAATAAGATGTATATACATACAAATAAAAAGTATCAGATGTGTTTCCCATATAATTTTTGAATTTAGGACATAAAGACTTTAAGAATTAACGCCTCAATATATAAAAAATTGGGCCAAATTGAAAAATATATTAGTATATAGGAAATGAGTCAATACTCACAATTTTAAGTAGTTTTTATTTAATAAAGTTGGTGAATTTTGGGCTACTGGTTTCAAGGCTTACAATATTTGCCCCATCATCAGGCCTCAGTATGTTATTTTTATATGTATTAAAAACTAAAAGATGCCAGATAAAGCAAATCTCTATATAAACTAAGGTACTTCTGGGAATCACCTTCCCCTTAAGGAATAAATTCCTTGAACCTGAACCTCCAACCTGAATATCAAGATGTTATTATTATTTTTTATTTATACTGTATATGTTGTCTTCAGCTGTTGTATTAAGATGTATAAATTTTTTTAATTAAACAAAAATTTCTTTGGATGGCACAAACATTAAAACACAAACAGTATATTAAAATTGTAACAGCCTTTGTGATTTCATATTAGTGAGGTTTTCATCATTTGAAAAATATACGTTATTCACTCAATATTTAATAGTAAAGTTCTGAAACTATTTTCTTATGTCATGTTTTTCATTGAATATTTTATATTTTTTAGGAATAAAACACAATAATTGTATTTAAAATAACCATATGTTTGGGTGACAAAAACTTATCTGAATATGGTAGTTACTCATTTAGAATAACAATCAATTTTCCCAGTGATTTATCAAGCAGAACAAGGCTTATATTTTAAGCATCTCTTTACAATTTCAAAATTTATATTAAATCAACTACTGTATTCTGAGATGTCACCTAAAAAATGAACAGTGAAGAATATTGTAATTCAATGTTGTTAATATTAAAGTATGAGATTTGAATGTCAGGTAGAAAAAGTATAATATAATTACAAAAAGGTGACCATATTCAATTTTACAGAAGTTTATTTATCAAAATAAGTAGCTAGCTCAAGATAGAGCTACTTAATAAGGATTCTTTATATTTTTTTAATTTTTAGATAAAGAATCCTTCATCAAAATTACTCTATTCGTCATATATAATATCATCATGTACTAAGTTAATCGCCAAGACAGAAGATGAGCTCCAAAGATTAACACATATCTTCAATACAACAGCTAAGAAATACAATATGATAATATCAGCACAAAAAAACCAAATGTATGACAACATCTAAATATCCACTACAGTGTAAAATAGAAATTGATGGGAAAATAATAAAACAGTAAGTAAGGTTTAGATATATGGGAATAGATATAACTATTTACCGAGATGTTGAAGAAGAAGTACCACAACACAGCTTAAAAGCAAGTAAAGTGGCGGGTTCTCTTAATGACACAATCTGGAAGAACAAACACCTAAGACAAGACACAAAAACAAGAATCTGTAAAGCAGCGATTAGACCTACATTAACATACACGGCGGAGACAAGACCTGACACATCTAAAACGAGACGACTGCTAGAAACAACAGAGATGAAAATACTCCGACTAATATCAGGGAGAAATCTGTTGTATACAGAGAGAATCGAAAGCATAAGAAGAGCATGCAATATAGTACACATAAATGGATGGGTGACAAAACGAAAACAGAAGTGGAAAAAACACATCAGTAGAATGGCATAGGATAGAATAATACGAATAGCACAAGATAAATCACCAAATGGACGAAGAAGTATTGACAGACTAAGAAAAAGATGGTGCGACAATTTAAACAAGAATAGAAGGCTAATATTGAAGAAGAAACAGGCTTTAAAGTCTACATACTAGAAGGAAGACTATTCTAAGTTTAATTTTATATAAAAATAAAAAAAAGCCACATAACACACCAAGAATGTATAACAAATGTGAGGCTGAAACATTGGATCTACATTATCTACAGTTTCAATAATGCAAACACCAAAAATTATTAAACAATAATTATGAATCAAGGACATATTCTCTCCCTCATACATTTTATCACATCCCTACTGTGAACATTTGAAAAGCCTTAGAAGATGATTCAGCTAGAATTTCAATCAACACAAGAAATAAACAACCTAAGAAATGCTGATATTGCAATTTGAATAGCAAACACTACAGAATATCTTCAGAGAGAAATATGTTCTCAACATAAATGACAATAAATTACAATATTACAAAAATAATTACTACAAATTAATAATAATAAAAATAATAACTACACATAAATGGGAATGTGATCAAACAGACTCAGAATTATAAACATTTTGGCATCATAATGAATAATTCAACATTCAATACAAACAAGAAATCATGCCTCCTTGCCTTCTATAGAACAACAGGGATGTTTTTAAAAAATGATGAAATTATTACCATATCCAGAACTATATCTAACAAAATGACACCTTATTATGTATTCCTGAGTTACTGTATTTAATCCAAAATATGAGATATTTTTCAGAAACCTTCTATGTGTAAGAGAGAATTTGTATAAGATATTCCAGCATAACAAGTCACCTAAGACCCAATAACACTGAAAGAGTCCCCCGAGCTAAATATTTTTGGTATTTTATATATGTAGGATGAATGAATTTTCCGCTTAGAAGGAGCTATGACTTAAAGCTAGATATCGATGATGTTTTTGTTAATGAAAATTGTTATTATAAATCATAGTCATACTACACAACTATTTATTATTTAATGCATTATCAGAATATGGATATTATTTACAATATGGTTATTATGTAAATGAACATCAGAACAAAAATAATAATCTTTTTTTTTTATTAGAACTTTCTAGTTATGGACTCTAGAAATTCTAAACTTACATTTTAAGCTGTTTTACAAATGTAATAGATTTACTAAGACAATAATTAGCAGAAATTGATTCTTGCCTCTATCACATTTATTTCTAAATAGGGATTACTGTAACTTTGTAGAAATAAGTTACACAATCTTCTAATTTTAAAAAAATATAATACCTACCTAAAAGAACACCATCCATATCAAATATGACATGGGTTACTCTTTTAAAAGCCTTACTAGCACTCATTTTATTTGTACTTTTGAATTAAAAGACAAAGCAAAAAGGTAAAAAACGTAAACTACATAACCTATACTCGGTCATTTAAGGACATGTCACTGTCACTGTCACTTACCACCTCCACCACTTCGGCACTCGTCACATGTTGCAAACTGTCAATGTTCGTGCTGGGTTCTACAATGTTGCCGTTACTATTCTTAATTTTCAGTACTGAATTTGCAAAGATATGATTTCTGGATATGATCAACAATGAATGAACAACACACATTGTATAAAAGTTTATATTATATGATTCACATATATTTTAGAAAATGTTCACTTTTACATTTTTCATGCATATGACGCTTAATTTGATTTAATATTAATACAATGATTCACGAATAGTTGTTAGGTACCTATATCCAAATATTAATTGAAATTGTTGAATATACTAAAATTAAGTTTAGTAGTTAGTATAACAATTAAAACTAATTTAAACATCCCCCAGTATTTAACACTGTTCGTTCTCCAATCACTTTATCCGAAGGTATCTACGAGTAATATCGTCAAATCAGAAAATAATCATGACCAATGCGTATTGCACGGGGAACCACAAAACCTTCAAAATTAGGTATCTGCCCTCGATTTTCCTTCGATAGGTATACCTACCACTGTATAACGGTAGCTGCCAACACAATAGTTATGGAGATGTTGATTTCTTTTTTCTTTGTAGATATTATTCTGTTGATCCGATTTTTCACCACACACAAATTATTTTTTTATGTCTAATATTTATAACATTAAACTAATTTTGAGTCTAAGTCTTTGAGTGATTCTGGTGAAGAAGAAGCTCTATTATTGTTGACACTTGATCAAACAGAAAAATATACTGTTTTTATCTTTTTTCCTACATTATTGCATTCATCATACGATAGACAAATAGGTAGGTAATATATTATGCAATCATTTTTCACTGTTTCGATTATATTTCTATTAATTCCGCACATGTTCCAAATGGTAAACAATAGTGGCAACGGAAAAACTCTGCAATGAAGCTGGTAATACCTCGATCGTTGCAAAATCCGTATTATCCAGAGATTATGCAAATTATGCTAATAATGCATTATCTATTGTTCTGTTTAGATTCCGTGCCAGCCACAGTAACCAATGTTTTGCGCCGGTGCGGTGCGGTGTGGGGATCCTTTAATTAATTTTGTAATTATTTAAACAATTTAAATGTTCAGAAAATAGATATTGTTCAATTATTGAAATATGCAATGGGCCTTAAATCATGGGCCATAAATATGCTAACTACATAGTTACTCTCTTCACAAATCAGCAAGAGCTTAAATTCAGGCACAAGATAATTGAGAACTTATTTTCATGCAGTAAAATCATAATCATCATGCTGTACCACAAGTTTTCTACTGTTCCTCCGAACCTCCTAACCATGTTACACAGGAGAAATATAACACTACATTATTTACAAACAATACACGTATTCAAAAAGTTACATTTAAAGGATTAAATACGTAGCAAATCATTCAGATTAAACTACTTGAAAAATAGACAGATTTATCCCTATAATTCTGAGACCAGCGAGAAAAGGTAACTTAGAAGACAGACAACGACTACCCTGGTTAATTCTTGAATTGGATGAAGAATAGGGAGTGGTTAATAAGGGGGTGATCCTTGTTTTGTACTTTTTCAAGATTCTTCAAGGATTGGAATCTTTATCGGATTGAGTTGGGAATTGACTTGTAAAGGCTGAGGTGACAAGGCTGCAGAGGATCCGGAGATGGCAGTAAGCGGTCTTTTTTGCGTTATCTTTTGGATAGAACGAATCATGGACATGCAGTGAATTAGTGACTTTATGTTTGAAGACAGTTGATTTTTCAAAAGTTCATTGTTTTATAGTGTCAGCGTGACCAAATGCCTTTAATTAACACATTTTAATTTAAAAATAAAATTACCTAGGGTTTGAGTAACCGACAAATTTCACTACCATTTTTAAAACTTTAATTTTTATAAATGGAAATTACCTTTTAAATAATATGTCACTTTTCAGTTCGTTTCTTCTTAGAATTTTATGAATAATGCTTGACACGGGATTAATGGGTTTCTTTTACTGCTCCAATATATTTAGCATGAACATTTGCGTATGTGTTTTTATATTTACAGACGCATGGGGAGGTTCTAATCTGCGACATAACACGTCGCAATGGCTGATAGGGAACTATCGTAGGATACATAGAACAGGAGTAAGTAAGGCGTAACCAAATGCCATAGGTGTAGCACTTGCCATTACAGTAGATTTGTCAATTGAACATGACCCATACACAAACACGCACACTCAAACACACATACATATATATATATATATATATATATATATATTATATATATATATATATATATATATATATATATATATATATATACCAACACTTTTTTATACCATGGTCAGTAGGAAAATCACAGACATTTGCACTACAACTGACACATCATACGGTCAGATTTCTTCTGCAACTATTACACTCTCTAATCACTTGGTGTAACGCCGTTATGCTCAGGGGATGTATGGTACAGGGGAAAAAGTGTTACCTTTAACGATGCCCCAGAGAGATAGGGAATCTGGTGGATTATAGCTTTAGCACGGTAAGAGTACATTGTCGTGCTGACAGTATTTGATCACTTTTGGTGAGAACTATTACCCAGCGAGATTAAAACAAAAAGAGACGGCTCAGAAATGAGTAACTCTTCTAAGTTGATAAAAATATAAACACAACGAGAAAGATAAGAGAGGCGACTCTAGTCGCGGTTTTTATCTCCGCCCTATTAATTCAGCAAGAAGGTGTTCCGAGATGAACAGTCTCTGAGCCAGCTATCAAAATCCATATCTCTGTAGCTCAATAGAACAGAATGAAAAAATGGCTGCTGACACATAGACCACAGCGAATCCCCCTAAAGCCAACCGACAAAACCCGAAGATAAAAAGATATTTCGAGAGAATACCATTCTTCTTCTCCTCCAACGCAAACGTTATATTACAAGGTCAAAAACTATTCAGGATGGCGGTGGCACACAGACACCATCCAGATACTGTTCTCGATTAGGCTAAAGCAGACATAATCATCAACTAACTGGAACAAGCAGAGAACGAGGCTTTTGTCGGAAGTTAGAATCAACTTTTGCAGTTTAATAAAACAAAGTTTAGCTCGGGGATCCTGTAGGTAAATTTTACTAACGAGAACACAAAAAATAGACCACTGATATGGTGAGGACTATCTGGGGCTTGTAGGACGTGGCACACTTAAATTTAGTCGATCCCCATAATATGCCCAAGCGCCCCATAGTCCACACCCTCTTTTTCGATAAAGAGACTGATAAAACAATTATCAGGAACCGTCTAAAGAAAAAAAACCAAGACCTTAATAAAGACGACTGGTTATTGAGATATCGGAAGATCGGGGAGAACGCTTAAATCTACTCTACACGGTCGTCGAGGTCTCCTATAAAGCAATGAGGACTGCTCATTTCAAGGCGTATTACAGACTTGGAAAGGTATCCTTTAAAACCATCAGATACCTACACAGTAGGGCAGCTTCAGCACAACTTACTGTTGCTATGAGAAGGTTCGATCGGTTTGATTCGGTTGATACAAGAGCCCTGGATTTATAAGGGCCAAAGAAGAGGTCTATCGGGCATTGGTGGAGATATTATAAATAGCCGATCTGCCGAAGTCTCAAGGACCTGTATATTAGTCAAACGACATATCAAAACACTGCCGTTGGTGCATATCTGTTTCAGGGATTTAACGATTGTAAAGATGAAGATCATATAGGTGGTAGGAGATAATTCTCGGATCAACATAACTCCAATATGATAATCCCGAACAACCATCATCAAGCAAGCTGAAACAGAAAGTAAGAGAATGAATTGATACCAATGAATGAATGAATACCAATTGGTAATTGGTATAATAATTTATAAGACCATGAAAATATCCAAAAGGATTATAAAATTGTTCAAAACGTTTTCAGTCCTATCAGACCATCATCAGTGATACATCAAGCATTTACAAAGCTACCTACAAAACGATATAAAAACCTTAAATTTACATTTAAAATGTTACATAAACTTACAATTAAATGGCATAATGTCGATAATTATAGATTTTTAATTAAAAGAGAACATACTGAGCCTTTACTCGAAAATCCGGCCAAATCTGAGCCAAACCAAAGGTACCACATACGTGAGTTGTATTGCAGGACCAGGAAGTGATAGTAGGAAGTAATAGCAAAGTTTAATGTTAAAAGAATATTTTAGCAATATACTGTGGTAATAATAGTAGGTATATTTATGTGAATACAAAAATGTTGTAGTCTAAGTTCTAGTATTTAACATGACATCTGGAAAGAGTTGGCAACATTGACTCGTCAATAAAGAACAAAATCACTACAGAATCTTCCCCACTACATCCCCACTCAGGTAGATTTCTTCTAAATGCATAGACGCATGCGTTTTTCCGTCCGTTGCACACTACCTCTAAAAAATTGAAGGTGCATAAAAAATAAACTGTTTGCCAGGCGAACTTGCGCATGTTTCTGTTGGATTCGTTTCAGAGGCATTCCTCTTTCAGTCGTGTTTCTGCTTGCTAAAGGAATAGTATCGGAGTTTAGTCGTTGAGTTGCCGGTCGCCGAAGTCAATAAAAGCCGTATTTTAGTGCCTTAGAAATGGATATTTAAATTGTAGAGAATGAAAAAGGCTTTATATTGAATTAAATTAGTTTATCATGGCTGTGATGAGTTGGACTGGAATAAATTTCCTCACAAAAATGTATCAAAAGCAGGGTTTCGCGTTAATTTTGTTTTTCGTGCTATGTGGGGTTGCAACTTCACACGACTCAAGGAGTTGTGAATTGGCGAGAAAAGGGATAGAGGACAAATTGAAAGTACAGTCAATAAAAATTCCTGATGTGCCACAAACAGGTAAGTTTATGTTCACTGGATGACATTTTTTTGTTGTTTATTGGAGAATAAATTGAAAACTACCTCATTATATTTTTTAAAGTGTTCAGTTATAGAAAAGACAGAAATAATTTCAATTTAAAATATTGCAAAAATGAAAATCGTTTTTATTATTCTTATTTTATTACCTATTTCAGTTGACATTCAATAGTTATAATATATTTTATAATTTTTAGTTAAATTATGATAATTTTTAAATATTATAATTTATTATCATAATTATATTTACTACAAAGGTTTCAAAAAGCTGCGATTTTGGGTGAGAAGACTTCTATTTTTTAGTACATATTTTATGTTTTGATTAGTTAGTATTTATATTTAAGGTATACATTATACATATACATTAAATATCTATATGTATGTTATTTTTCTTCTCTGTCCCGTACTAGTTAATCCTGCTAGATTATTTTAAACGTCTGCCTACTACATTTAAATAAAATGTAAAAAATGTAAAAAAATGGGATTTATTTTTTGGGAGGGGGGTGTGGGGGGGTGGTTAATTTACACATTATTTACATATTTTATGTGATATTTCGATTTCCAGTGTCCGGATTCATTAAATACAAATTTTTGAAAAATTAAATAATTGTTTTCCTTTTTAGTATTTTATTAGTTTGAAATATACTTCCTATTTCATGTTTAATAGTTTAATTTTATATGCACCACTCATCAATCCGAATCACATCACAAATCCATAATTATCATTTCTTGTCGTCTGGTGGGTCTTAAAAAGACATTCTAAAAGAAAAATACATAAAAATACATTGGCACCAAATGAAATGCATTTTATATTAATCACTAATTGAAGCTGAATCCATTGATTTACATTCCAGGTTCGTAGACTGGTACCCTTTTATTCCACTAGAAGCCAGTAAAATTTTCTTGTTAGTAATTCCCTTGTAAAATTGATACCACTATTCCGACACCTTTGGCATCATAGATCTTTCCACACTGCAACCTGAAAGATCTGTTCTGTGTATAGGCTATATGTACGATAAGTCCAAAAGACCTCGGCTTCTAAGAAAACCTATTTATTATCCCTTTCGCAGATATGTTTGTATGTTCATAATATATGATTGGCAGTTGTAGCCAATATGTTCGGTACATTTTTGCAGGATCTGCATGTTTCTTTGATCACTTTGCCCATTTTACAGATTTGACAACTGAGTGAGCAGTGTCCAATGCGAACTTAACAGAGTGGAGCTGTAAACATTCCTTAAGTAATTGACGAAGCACAACGAAATACCTTTGTTATGGGCGCTAGGGTATAAAGAACTTGCAAGCAATGAGGTTACTGATACTATTGCTAAAGAAGCGTTGTTAGTATTCCTTTTATGGAACAATCTTACGGTATTCCAAAAAGCTGCTTTGTGGAAGATGTCCGAATGTGGTGAAAGAAAGTGATTACTCCGATCTGAGTTCAGTTTTCTAAAGCCAGATGTTTTTGTTTCTTTAGTCTAAACATTGTCCCAGTACGAAGGCTCCGCTAATTCGAACATCTTACACAATGCAGGTTTTTAGAAATACCACGGAATCGTTCGATCTTTTTCTTTAATTGCCATCTCCGCGACGAAGGTTGGTAATCATCATGGCTATTCTGACCTTCGAGGCAGCTGCTCTGAACAATTGTGTTGAGCTGCAACCAAACCACTCTCTCAGGTTCTTCAACCAGGAAACGCGTCTTCTTCCTACGCTTCTCTTAGCTTCTCCTACGCTTCTCCGAATTGTTTTCAATAAAAGAGTATTAACAATGCTCTTAAGTAATATTATCAGCAATCTCATTGCTTGCAAGTCCTTTATACTCTATAACATACCCTATAACATAACATTTTTGTCTGTTGACAGTCGTATGCGGCTTTGAAATCCACGAAGATTTGATCCGTTGTTGATTTACTGGGACGGAAACCGCACTGGTAGTTCCCAACTATTTGTTCAGCATAGGGGATCAATCTTCTGTACAATATGTTGGACAATACTTTATATGCCACGTTAAGTAGGGTGATGCCTCTATAAGTATCACATACCATCATATCTTCCTTTTTGTGAAGAGGGTGCATTACACCCCACATTCGCCCACCTGTTTAGTATCTGTTCTTTGCCACTAATTATAGAACCATCTCTGTCTTTGCATGCAATTATTCTGGGTTTGAATTATTTTCTGCAGCTGTTTATCTTCTGCTACAATTTTCGCAAGTCTTTTCTATTATGGTGGTTAACACTCTCGTTTAGATCTTTTCGTATGGCTTTCTTTTTCCTTCTAAACGTCCTTTTTTCTTCTCGTCTAAGATTTTCATAGTCTCCTAGATTTGATCTCGTTCTGCGCTGCTGAAGTCTTTTATATGCTTCATTTTTCTGTTGGTTAATGGATCTACATTCTTCGTTAAATCAATTTTCGTTTATTTTAGCCTGTTTAGGTTTTAAAAAGCCTTTAGCCGCTGTATGGATAGCTTCCTTGCATTTAGTCCAGTTTTCCTCTATACTTAAATTTTAGTTGATTCTTGTCAGCTCTTCATTTAAAATTCAAACCTTGTAAACTCCATTTCCCGATAAGTATTTTGAGCTTTTTTCATTTTAAAACATTGTTTTTTAATCGTTAATGAAGCGTTTATAACAAGCCTAGAATTTTCATCGAAAGCTGATATAAGAAGTCTTCAACTTTAATTTAAACGCTTGATGATTTGAAAAATATTATTTTTTCTTGTGTTTTTAAGTCTAGAAAATCGTCATTTTGGGTTTTTTTCAGTTTAAAATTATTTACAACTCGAAAACAATCATTTTTAGAGAAAACTTACTTTTTTTGTTTATAATGATCCAATAAACCTAAAAAAATTGCACTTTTATTATTATTAGAATGATTTGGTAATTAAAGTTATACGGATATGTGCATTATGTTTTCAACGTAAAAATTTTTTTTAGAGATTAAAAGGATTTCTGATTTACTTAATAATTGATGTTAATGAAATACGGATGGGAATACGTACTAGGCGGAGAAAGGTGATGCATAGAGACTATTGGAGAGACGTAAATTAGATCTACAATCCAACTTAACTGTCAGAGACAATCAATATTTTGACTAATCGGCGTTTTTGCTTGCAAGCTTGGCACAAAAATCTGTTGCTATAAATAGTTCATAGATTGTTTTAAATATTGTCGGAATCTGACACAGGACATATTCCGTCATAACATCTCCAAATATATCCACAAGAAAATACTAATGTTTGTACAACAACATCCATGGATCGTTCAGATGGGATTTTAGTTGAATCCACTTCTTCAAAACGCGAGATTGTCCTCACAACTCGTAACGTACTTCATTGCTCATACTAAAGTTTTAGCAATTAGGTTACGAGTTGTTACGTGTCATAGTCGCTTGCAATTCAGGCATATAGCTATGTGATTGGAAAAATATAGTGAGTGAAGGACTCTGCCCCTTTTAGACTCAATTTTAGTCACGGTCACTCAGCAATTTCGCGAACATAGGTTTCGGGGTTATTTACTCTCTGGGCGTATATGGATTTACTCAACAAAGTTGAGGATTATTGTAGCTAGTATTTGACTGAATTTTACCCGTACTCATGATAGTCGATTATGATACATGTAGTCGGTGTACGTATTCAAAACAGAAAGTCTTGAGCTTAAATTTATACAAGAAACAAGCTACCAGTGGATATACTGCATGCTAAGGGGGGTAGTGTTAGCACAATCAATCAGATGATGTCCGCATAACGCAGCCACGGAATCTTATCTCCTCTCTTGTGGAATTTGGTCATGGATAAGTTGATAGCTAAACGCAACAACGACATACATCATGTATTGGGGTATTCGGATAGCCTGGTCATCTTAGCCCATGGAAATTTATATAAAAAAAGGGAATTTCGAGAAATTAGGTCCTCTAAACCTAAAAGTTGGCGATAACAAGTGGGTCCAATCAGAGCCAATCAGTTTGCTACTGGCTCTGGCCAGATGAAGTTGTCGACATTTTCGAATGGAAGATTTAACATATTCTCTTTTAGTTAATATGTATTTAGGTAATAGTTTTCATATGCCTGAATCAAAGTGAATACAAGTATTATAATTCATTAAATAATTATTGTCATCATAACTTCTTTTAGGATCAGCACAATCTCGTATAATCTGATTTCATCACATTTTAGAAATAGCTTTGTCATAATAATTTATTTTTATTTTACTTTTAAGCCACTGCAACTTTGGGATTAAATAAAATAATTAATTTCCAAGTGTCTATTCTTATCTATGCATTGTTTTCACTTATACCTTGCTAAAGTTTTTTTTTCAAGGTATTTCATTGACTTCACGGATAATATGTAGGTATCGCTACCTGCTTAATACCCATTGTGTAAAAACTGTTGTTTTCACATTGAATGTACCTGATCTTGAGGATATAATGACCGGAAATGTAAGGAATATGTATAACTTATACTTGCTTATTTAAGGAAGATTTTATTTTGAAAATTGTTAACGTTACAAAGAATTTGTTATATTAACGTTATGTATAGTAAACTCCAGATATATTATCATCGGTTGATATCGATTTAAACTAATGTCTCCTTTAGTCCGAAAAAACTAAGCTGAAACTACCCATGAAATGAAATTTGTAATCAAACAATGTTTCAAATATATTATAGAAAAAAAATTGAATCGTTTATTTTAAAAAGAAACTAACACGGGCATTGTTGTAAGGTACATGCATACATACATATTAGTGATTGCCTTCCATACACAGTGGCTTTGCACAGCATATTCTGTTTGCCGTTTACCATATTCGAATCGCCAACAAAAAAAAATTGATAAAAAACACTGGCACCCATCGACATGTGCGCTTTATAAACATAGATTTAAATGTACAGGGTGATCCACGCAAGCCTAGCATAGCCCATAAGCTTTATTTTTAAGGGAACATCCTGTATATTTTATATTTTAAAAAGCGCACATTTCAATTT